AATATATGAATAAATGATTTTAAACTTTATGCCTAAGCTAAGAATCCAAATTCTACAAATAAAAATGAAACGATAAATCTCATTTTGAAGAAAGAAAATAAATCCTTGTGCTGTCTTTCTAAGAGCTCACAAAATTTTGCAACAATATTGTAGTTTACTTTCTCACTCATATACATGAGGCAGACTAGGGTTGGTGACTCCTGACCTGATATTAACAAAATCTGGCGGGTATCTCTACTAATGTCATTTAGTAGTAGGTGCAGCGTAATCCAATAACATATTAGAAGTCAAGCTCGAAGTCCACTGGAAAGTGTGTCGCGTAGGGATCGTCCGTCAATGGCTCTCTGCAGTCTGCTATATATTACGTGCTGACTAATTAAGAATATTACTAAAACAATAGTCAAGCTTAGCCTTGTCGATGAATGCTATTTTCCGTTGTTATTAAAGTACGCTGTCTTTTTCGGCTTCGAGTACCTACTACCATCACCTGACACGCTATGCGTAAAATTATCTTTTTGCAGCGTTTCTTAGTATATGACACGGTATGTGTAAAATTATCTTTTTGTAGCGTTTCCTCATCGTTTATATAGAGTGTAACAAAAAGCGTTTGTATATAATTAAAACTAGAGTTTAATCTCGCGTTTTTTTGTCATTTTATTATTTTGACGTTCCGAGTACTATACAATTTTTGTGGTCATGGATGATTATGTTTTAATTATGTTTACGACTCTAAAACCCGAGTAAATACTACAACGTTTGTATATTTTAATTCATAAGTACAAGCGAGGCGTATCACCGCCCCCGGCTACATCGGGAGGCCCGTCTTGAAGGTTAGATTACGTGATTACTTATGTAATTGGTACAATTTATCGATTTAACATCTTAACCGATCTCGCTGATTCGTTTCTGTACACTTTTGTTGATACATTTACGTTTAATTGGATCTTTTTAGGTGATGATCAAGTTCCTTACATCACATTTATAAAGTTAGTATCAAAACATATTTTGTTCACAAACCATAGTTGTCAGTTGTGTGTCAATAGAAAATATGAGACCTTAATATTGTGCTTCTTTCAGAGTACATGTGAATGATTATACCACTTAGCTTATGCTTTGGTTTATCTCGTATTCCGAAACTATATAATCCTCTTTCTCAGTACGTTACCAGATATTTGTTTCTCTATAAATATTCTGTAGTGTATATAATAAAAGTAGCTACAATACGATATTCCTATCCAGTTTTTACTAAACAAAATTGTCCAAAGGTCGCCCCATTGTATCGCTTGAATTAAGTTTAATTAGTGTAATTTTCAGCTATGTCGCTGCAAATTCGAATTTCCAGATTATTCTTTTTTCCGTTAAAGGTTTATCTATAATGGTAGAAAATGACATGTGAGGGCAAGTATGTAATAATAATAAAGCTACTTGCAAAATTTTAAATAATTAATAGAAATAGTGGCTTAGCTTTAGGAAAACACTCTATAATTTGTTGCATGAATCTAATATTTTATCACGCACATTCCCATAGATAATATTTAGTGTTCGAATAGATTTGCATAGAACGAAATCGTTGACATTGTAAATAGAGTTGAGAATGGAACGAGATTGGTGGCAGCTGACTCCGCGCAGGGAGATGTGTGCAGTGTCTGAGTGCTTGGCCGCTATCGACTCGAGGGTTGGTTTTCTCTACTATAATAAATACTATGCACGCGTTCATTGTTGTATGTTCCTATATATTTGCACCAATTTCCTATATAACTAACCACCAAATTCATGTATATTTGGTGAGTGTTACAGTGGATTTTTGTTTTTAATCAGATGGTCACTAAGCATATGCGACCTAATTAATCAAAGGAGGCACAGTGTAAGATTTTTTGCATTGAACATTAACTTTAAATAGGATAAACAGTAACAAAATATGGTATGAGCTAAGGTCACACCTTATTTATTGCTAACAGGCACACTACTATGCATACACACGTTAAGGCATTACGTAATATATCGAAAGAATATTCATATGTAGCTAGCGCACGCCTGTTGAAAGTAGAGCGCTTTACAAAATGATAAATTTTGAAAAAGTTACATATATACATTGCATAAATCGTATGTTGATAGTTAATTACTTTGTATTTTGAAAAAAATACCCAAGACGTATCGTAGTTTTGCACGTTTGTGATGTTAATGACTATTTTACGTATTGAACAATGTTCTTCGTGAGAAAAAATTAAATAAGAACAGTTTCACTTTTTTGCATTAATTCTTTACACATTTTAACGCATTTTGAAACCAGTGGTTGTTTAAAATTAATTATTACAATAGGGTATACTATAGGCAAGTTCATACAGATAATCTAAACCTGAACCTGATATTAAAAATATGCGTAAAGCTTTCAATAATTCTTGTTCAATATTAAACATAAATAAAACTGTAATATCGCTAAAAACTGCAAAAAATAAGACATTACCAATATTTTTTTTATTGCTTAGATGGGTGGACGAGCTCAAAGCCCACCTGGTGTTATGTGGTTACTGGAGCCTATAGACATCTACAATGTAAATGCGCCACCCGCCTTGAGATATAAATTCTAAGGTCTCAAGTATAGTTACAACGGCTGCCCCACCCTTCAAGCCGAAACACATTACTGCTTCACGGCAGAAATAGGCAGGGTGATGGTACCTACCCACCGGACTCACAAGAGGTCCTACCACCAGTCTAACTCTTTGTGTACGTCAAAATTAATGAATGTAAGCAAATGTGTATCGTATTGTTTATTTGCACAGAACTGTTTTAAAAAAAATCTGTAAATTAATAAAAATTAAAAAACTAATTTATTTTAAAGACTTAACCTCATTACTCGTTAATAGATAAACATTTTGTTAATTGCGATTCATTGTAGAGTTTCGTTCGGTTTCGAACAGGCAATTAATGGTAATGAAGGGAACTTAATTAAGTCGCGGACCTTCTCTTTGAATATGCTAACGAAATATGAATACAGAAGTCTGTTTTGTGTAGAATATTTGAAAAGGGATAATTTGATGAAAATGTTTACGTTACTTTAACCTTGATTAGCATTCGTCAGATGCGTCATGTGTTTTATGTAGTCATACATGGTACAGGTGGTAGGACCTCTTGTGAGTCCGCACGGGTAGGTACCACCGCCCCGCCTATTTCCGCCGTGAAGCAATAATGCGTTTCGGTTTGAAGGGTGGGGCAGCCGTTGTAACTATACTGAGATCTTAGAACTTATATCTCAAGGTGTGTGGCACATTTACGCTGTAGATGTCAATGGGCTCCAGTAACCACTTAACACCAGGTGGGCTGTGAGCTCGTCCACACATCTAAGCAATAAAAATGTCTATATTCTGAATCAGTAGCTATCAATTTTGCGCGCAGCAATTCGGGTTCAACTAAGTCTTGGAACTATTTCGACAATAGCGGTTGGGTTGGCTTCAACTTAACAACTTTGGCTTTAATACTAAGCCCACTGTCGAATTATTGGAACGATTTAAACAAAATTGGATTTGGTGTATGTGAAAGTTTGGTTAGTTGGACAAATACAGTACTCTGAAAATAGGAGAAGCCTCATTAATATAAGCAAAGTTTAGAAATAACGCGCAATCTTTATATTAATACGTGAGCAAAAGCTTTGTATCCCTTTTTACGAAAATTGCGAAGACGGAGGAGTATGAAATTTTCCACACTTATAGAGAATATCTATATAGAGAAGAGGTGCACAATGCTAATATTTTTTTTAAATAATGCATAAAAGATATATTAAATCAATAAAGAAAACATTACACACACTACATACCATGTATTTGACGCACACACGCATGCATACTATTTATTGTCAAACTTTTATTCTTGACGTCTGTGGTCCAATTGAGAATAGATTAAATATTGTTTGTCTTTATTAATATTTTTTTATAGTGTAGCCTTGGCGAATTTTTTTATTATAGAAGTATAAAATACAATCATAATAGTGTACAAACTTACAATTCCAGTTAATTATAGTCGAAATTCGACTACTGTGGGACCTCTAGTCCTTTTAAATACGAGACTAGACATATAGGTATCGATCAAACTTTATACGAACGAAATTAATTTATAAGAATTTTATAAAATAAATAGAATATTTTTCAAAAAATAAGGAAGCAGAACTATTCTGTGTTGACGCTTGACTTTAAACCATTGTCTGTTAAAGAACAATAGCGTATGGAGGTAAATACACCGGAAATTATCATTTAACACTGCATTGCGGTTTTGTTGACATGTGGTTCATGTACGTAACACAATGTGTCAACGACATCTTGATATCATCGAGATAGCGCTGTATAATTTAATCGATTTTACAATATCGCTATGTATTTGGTGATTGGTGATGTTTTACAACACAGGCACGAAAGTTAAGCAGCTTTAAGTGCTTTTTTTTAACTGAACGTCAATGCTAATATTTACATTGATATGTACTTTACATACTTGTTGAATTTCAAATGCATAAAGAGTTATGATGAACTTGGGTGGCAAGCTATGAGCTTGAGGTGAATCGGTGAAACAAATTATGCTGGCTATTTTTTATTTAATTTTGGTTTGAATTTATTGTAGAGTCTCAAATTTGCATTATATATTATATTTTAAATAAATATAACAAGTTATGATTTAAAATATAACCCGGGAATGTATGCTGTCTAGTAAATGTCTATATCTTTTAATAACCATTGCTGTTCAAATGTTCCTAAAAAGTTTTCTTAAATTGCTGATTAAGTAGTTACGGAATATTTTATTTGGACTAGTTCTAAGACAGTCCCTTGGAACAGTTACTTCTTTTTTTAAGACGAACTGCTTCCATTACTTTACTACGAAAACCCTTTAAAGATTTTTCTTCCTTAAATTCTCCTAAAATTAAATGTACCTGCAAATTTTCGTTTACTTAAAAGCAAACATAAGTTCATGATATGTAAATGAATATTTTTAAATTAATTGATATTGCTTTTCTATAGGGTATGGCTTTTACCATCGAAGAGCGTCAGCTCTTGGGCATCCACGGGTTGTTACCACCACGAGTCAAGACGCAAGAGGAGCAGGTTGAACTATGCAAGCTCTCGATCGACAGATACGAAAATCCACTTAACAAGTACATCTATCTTATGGGGCTCTTGGTAAGTCTTCATAAAAAATATTTTACAACAATGTCTTCTTCGAGTATTCAAGAAAATTATAGAAAGTAATTAAATTTTAATCTGTGTTACAAGGTGGAAGTGTTCCGTTTCAAAACAAGCTTAACTTTCTTTTTAAATTAGTAGTAATACTAGTGTAGATGAAATGTGGACTGTATTAAATTTAACGTTATTTTATAGCATAATCTAATTTATTTAATAGATGATTCAAATCACTTTTTTCGTAAGCCAAACTCACGGCCAACCTGATATTAAATATTTACCGGAATCTATGGACACTACATTATCGTCCACACCACATTATATCCCAGCGAAGATACTGGTCTACACCATTTGTATAAGCTCTGTCCCCTATCCATCAAAGTAAACGCATGATGGCTTCGCGGAATTATTTTCAGGATGGTAACATACATATTTAAGTAAATTGGGGAGTTATCGGTAAGGAATTAGTAGAAGCCCGGGAAGGCAGCACGGACCCTTATTTTCCGGCAAACTATAGTCATTAAGATAAATTAACCTTACAAGTTTTACCTTTCTTAATAATTTTAATTGAAATACTTATAACAATAAACTTTTGATTTAAAGTTTATTATAATTTACGGATTCGTCTTTAATATAATAAAAGGAAACGATGTAGGTAAGAGTATAACAACGTGATTGAGTTTGGGAGAGCGATGAACATTGATGGATGTTCCAAACATTTGCTTGAGTACTACGTACGTAAATAGAATGTGTAAGTACTGTGTAGTATGAGTATAATAATATAGAAAGTTAGTAAAAACATGAAAATATTGAGCTGAGAGCTGAGAATTTAAAAAAAAAATTACACGGCGTGTTGTTTTAGTTCTCTTATTTTCATTTCACAAAGGTTGTTTTCATTTTGTTTATTTTTTCCCTCCACCTATTCGTTGGTAGCCTAAGGGGCTATTACAGCAACGCCCGGACGGGTAGGTGAGCTCACGGGCTCAACCTGAGAGAATTTGTTAACACTAGCCCTAGCAAGAGCGGTGCTTTGCAGTCGTCTACCACTGGATCAAAATCGCGACCCACTGAGAAGATCCGGCGAGAAACTCAGTGCACTGTGTCTATTGGTTGTTTTCATCATTTATTTTACGTGAATATTTAGACGATTCAACACCTTACCAAGGTTCATCGATTCGTAAGCGTACGAAGCCATCTGTCCGTGACCTCTGTTTCGTATGAATGTACAATACTGTAGAAAAGTTATACTATAAATATATAAACAGTAGCAACAGGACTGATTTTAACATGACCAAAAGAATTTAAATTATTGATGACGCACAGTTATTGTTAAATATTTTGGGTATCGGGTTCATTCGTACTCAATTGTTTTAATTACAGTGTATACAATATTAGTATGATGACAGACAGTATTTTAAACATACATTAATTATTGGGTTCAATCTAGAAAAATTGTAATCTGGAAAAAATCAGTTCTTTATATTACATGATAAGAAAACGTGTATTATTTTGCAGCATAGTAGAAAGAGCTCCGTCATGCTCAGTACCTGTGGATTCGACAAGGTTACATTTTTACGGTACAATTAAAAAGATACCATACTTAGACTTATCATCACCATTTTCGTAACATTATATATTTATTTAACTGGTAGCTGTTACCATTGAAGAGTTGGCCAAAATATGACTTTTAAACTGCCGTAGGTAGCGACCTGACTATGCCTCTGGCATTGCTGACGTCCATGAGAAAATGTAAGCAAATCACCATCAGGAGACTTAAGTGCTCGTTTGCCCACAAAGACAAAAAAATATTGGTCTTTAAGAACAAGCGCCTTCTAAATTAAACATTATTTTTACTAACTACTACCTAATATTTCTGCTTTATAAAGTAATAAGCCGTTTTGACGTATCCAATACTCTGGCGTCTAAATATTGTTTATTTTGTTGACATTAACTTTATCCCCCATATAATCATTGGTAGCCCAATGGGCTATTCTAGTCTGAATAGTAAGTCTAGTAAGACTAGTAAGTCACGCACCGGTAGGTGAGCTCACATGAATTGCTAACACTGATATCTAACAATAGCAGTGCTTCGTTGAATCTACCACTGGATCGCGACCCACTGAGAAGATCTGGCGAGGAACTCAGTCGTGTATATGGGTTAATTCACACGTCGAACACTTCGTTGCGATCGACATGGACGGTGATCACCATCTTGTAACTTTTTCCAGGACCGTAATGAGCACCTGTTCTACCGTTTCGTCGCGGATAACGTGGCTGAAATGATGCCGATTGTGTACACTCCGACGGTTGGCCTGGCCTGTCAGAAGTTCGGCCTCGTGTACCGCCGACCAAGGGGCCTCTTCATCACGATCCACGATAAGGGACATGTATACGATGTTCTTAAGAACTGGTGAGTACAATACTGAAAACAGAGTAAATTTATTTGATACTGTATTGTTATTACGTTAGTTTTTTGTTGTTGAGATAAATAGTAATATAAGTGTCAATACTGCTAAAGATATTCAGTTTCAGTCCACCTATCTAATTCGCTTTCGTATCTAATTATCCCTTGCTCCTAAATGAATTATTATGAATATTTTATTAATTTTCCACAAAATTATAATTGTTACTTATTATTTTTCAAAGCAGTCCTAAGTAAACAAAACATCGAGAGGAACTTTGCTTTAGAAATTCATTAAAATAAGGTTAAAACAAGGTGTGTTTGGTTAAAACAATCCTTGTTTTGACACATCGTTAAAACAATGACCGATATTATTTAGGTACGGCAGATGAATCATAACAAAAGAAAAGTAATGAGTCACATTCCGATTTTTGTATATTTTATAATACAATTTATTGTTCTTCCATTATTTGTATTGCATACAACGTATTTTCCTATTTTAATGATATACTTTTATGATAGATGTGTGTTTGAACCTATTTTGAATGGTTTAAAAGATATTTTATGGGAATTTTAATGGTAAACCTTTTTGTGGAATGGAACAGGAAATAAAGTGTGCAAATTTATTTGTTGTATTGTGTTTTCAGGCCGGAGACGGACGTCCGCGCCATTGTTGTAACCGACGGAGAACGTATTTTGGGCCTGGGCGATTTGGGCGCGTGCGGGATGGGCATCCCTGTGGGCAAACTCGCGCTCTACACCGCGCTCGGAGGCATCAAGCCTCATCAGTGTCTGCCCATCACTATCGGTGCGTATCCCGAACGATTAATATTGAATCCGTTTTAGTTTTTAATACTTTTTGTAGCTCTACAACCATAGCCAATCAATACTTTAATAAAAGCATAAAGAGAAATACTTTAGGTTGATATGTTTTATTAGACATTATTGAACTTGTTTTGTTTTGTGAAAGTTTTTTGTGCAGCTTAACTTTACAAATATTTTTTCTTTCGCTTAAATGCTAAACTTTACTAAATAAGGAGTGGTTCGGTGGGTGGACGAGCTCGCAGCCGACCTGGTGTTAAGTGGTTACTGGAGCCCATAGACATCTAGAATGTAAATGCGCCACCCACCTTGAGATATAAGTTCTAAGGTCTCAGTATAGTTACAACGGCTGCCCCACCCTTCAAACCGAAACGCATTACTGCTTCACGGCAGAAATAGGCGGGGTGGTGGTACCTACTCGTGCGGACTCACAAGAGGTCCTACAACCAGTGATTACGCAAATTATAATTTTACGGGTTTGATTTTTATTACACGATGTTATTCCTTCACCGTGGAAGTCAACCGTGAACATTTGTTAAGTACGTTTTTCATCAGAAATATTGGTACCCACCTGCGGGATTCGAACACCGATGCATCGCTACATACGAATGCACCGGACGTCTTATCCTTTAGGCCACGACGACTTCACTTTCTTCTTTCTTTAATCTAATACTTCCCAGGGTCCAGGTTTGGTTTTCAATCGGAGTTAATATTTTTGTTAAAGTTGTTTCTGGTCTTGGAACATATGATTTTGTTTCGATATGTATGTGTATTTTACACAGCAAGAAAACTTGGAGTGGTAGTATAGAACGTACTACATTAATTTTAAGTTGCAAAGGGTTTGAATGCGACGTTTTTCTGAGAAAGGTTTTAAGGGGCTATTTTATTCTTAAGGGGTTTTTTTAATGAGGGAACTAAGTCGAGAACTAAGAAGTAGTTAATGTATAAACGCGTGATCGTAGACGTGGGTACGAACACCCAGTCGATGCTGGACGACCCGCTGTACATCGGGCTCCGGCAGCGGCGCGTGCGCGGCTCCGACTACGACGAGCTGCTCGACGAGTTCATGCGCGCCGTCGTGCGCCGCTACGGGCAGAACTGTCTCGTGCAGTTCGAGGACTTCGGGAACGCCAACGCTTTTAGACTCCTCGAGAAGTACAGGAACAAGTGAGTTTGACGGGGGCTTTTTTTTTTTTTTTTTGGAACGAAGTTTCTTATGGGACGATGCGGAGAGGTACCATAACCGGGAAAAAACGTCCGTAACGTAAGATTTTTATTAGTAATGCACACAGTGTACGACTTAGCTTGTAATAACGTACAAATTAATAATGCACACAGTGTACGACTTAACTTTGTAATAACGTACACATTAGTAATGCACACAGTGTACGACTATGCTAAATTTTTCGCCGGTTCTGATCCAAGATGTACTCGCGAAGCAGCTGTTCTTGAGCTGCTATGCTTCTTCTGGGGGCGCTCGGGTAATTGTTTACAGACTTTCCCTTTCCTTCCTCACTGAGCCCTCGAGTTTGATTGGATAAATTTGTACATTAGGTACTGCACTTTCAACGACGACATCCAGGGGACGGCGGCCGTGGCGGTGGCCGGACTACTCGCCAGTCTCAGACTCACACAGAAGAGGCTGTCTGACAACGTCATCGTCTTCCAGGGAGCCGGAGAGGTTCGTTTGCATTGTCTCCATTTACACTGGAAGGATTTATTTAATACACATTTTGTCTTTTCGTACCCTGCCTATTTCTGCCGTGAAGCAGTAATGCGTTTCTGTTTGAAGGGTGGGGCAGCCGTTGTAAATATACTGAGACCCTTAGAACTTATATCTCAAGGTGGGTGGCGCATTTACGTTGTAGATGTCTATGGGCTCCAGTAACCACTTAACACCAGATGGGCTGTGAGCTCTTCCACCCAACTAAGCAATAAAAAAAACCTGCGAATTCCTAATAATTTATCGATAAAATGAGATAAAATTCCGTTGCATACCTGCGTGACGTTACATCTGTAAAAATTGTACCCTCATGCGCCTAAAGAAGTTTCACTTAAAAAAAAAAAGTGTACAATTTCCAAACATATTCGAAATTGAGTTAATATGCGGAATCATTTGGTATCACCAGTATTTTTGTCATAAATACTGTCAAAAGAGCGTAGTTTGGATTTTTTTTTTGTTTACCTATGTTTTGACTACTATTAACAAAATTAATACATAATTTTATCTTACTACTAAAAGACAGATAATGTAACTGGTAAAAATAAAAATAAAATGTTGCAAAGATCATTAATATTAAAAAATGTCACATGTTTTAATCCTTTAAAACACTTTCCTGTAAAATTACTAGGTACGTTTTGAGATTATACAGTTTTGATGCGAGAAGACGATTTATGTCAGAATCTTTGTAATGTGCGGTTTGTTATATGCAACAAATGCTTACAGTAAGACTTAGACGAAATGACTCAAACGGAATTTTCGCGGTGATTTCTAAGGATTGTCCCGCAGTTCATATTAAAAATATTGAAATTATTAATAAACGGAGAAACGAGTAATTGCAAATGATTGTGCTATTCTATCTAAAAAAAATTTCTTTCTTTAAAACCTTCTGTTATTTTGACTATTACGTATTTAGTTAAGTAGTTATATCTTTATTAATAATCAGTGTATAACTTTAATATTAACATAATTTTAATTATGCTTTCAATTTATTACCAGAATGTAAATAGGACTGTATAGCAAGTCTGTCGGGAAATCTACTGGCCAGTTAGTGATATATTTGTTTTTTAGGCCGCTTTGGGTATCGCGGAATTGTGCGTTATGGCTATGAAGGGCGAGGGCACACCGGAGCAGGAGGCGAGGTGCCGCATCTGGATGGTGGACTCGAAGGGCCTCATCGTCAAGAACAGACCGGAGGGAGGACTTAACGTTCACAAGGAGAGATTCGCTCAGGACCACGCGCCCGTCAGGACCTTGGCTGAAGTTGTGGAGGTGGCCAGACCGTCGGTGCTTATTGGTGAGCTCAGAGTTCAGTTATAGATAGTAACATTATGTTTATTGAACTGGAGAATTCGACTTTAGTGAAGATTTTTTCGGAAGCGACAATTTTTTTGAACGATTTAGACAACAGGGATATAATAAAAAATATGTTCCTGAAGTTCGGATTATATATGACTTTGTCTGTACGACTATTTTAAGAAGTTTATTTAATTAATTGGTTCAATAAAATTTGTGCGCAAGCCGAAACCTCAGCCAAACAAACAAAAGGTTACACATAACCCTTACATAAGCGACTGTCTCAAAATCCGATTTTATGCTTCTGTTGCATAGGCAAAAATCAGATAGTTTTATTCCAAAAACTGTTGCTTCTAATTGAATATTTGTAGCTGTATGTTGTATGTTTGTGGTAGGAGCGGCCGCCATCGGTGGTGCTTTCACCCCTGAGATATTGAGAAAGATGGCAAACTTCAACGAGAAGCCAGTCATCTTCGCCCTCTCCAACCCCACCAGCAAGGCGGAATGTACCGCTGAAGAAGCTTATAGTAACACCGACGTGAGTACTCATTTGTTTCAATTTAACGTCCAATTTGAAATGTGTGCTATGAAGAAGTAACGGCACAGTTTTATTTTTATCACAGTTATATCAAATCACAATATTTTATACACAAATTTCATTCGAAACATTGTAGTGGTTTTTTTTTTCGTGGAGCTCGAAGGAACATATAACGATACGATAGCTTTTACATGCATCCGTTGTTTTGTTTTGAGTTCAAAACAACTATTAGTCCAATTATTTAAACAAATGTTGTCTTTAAAATATGAAATTGTAATGTCTGACATAAAACGGTAAAGGCTTGATTGTTTGGGACCCGTTTTTCAGATCTTCCTGTCATTGGTACTAGGTCTCATGCATTCGATAAATGTGTCGTGACAGTCGTGAGCGTTAGTGAGTCCACTCACAATGCGTGTCTCGGGTGTTCCAGGACCGTGCTATATTCGCGTCGGGATCACCGTTCCCGGAGTACCGCAGTAAGTCGGGCGCGTTGTTCCGCCCGGGACAAGGCAACAACTCGTACATCTTCCCGGGACTCGCGCTCGGCATCATCTGCGCCGGAATACTGGACATCTCGGACGACTTCATGCTACTCGCCGCCGAGGTAACTCTTATTTCTTTTTATTACAAATGGTTTAGCGATGTACGTCATCAGTTTGCTTAGTGCGAGTTTTTTAACGTTCTCGATAGCGTAAAAGTTAGCTCATATTTGTATGGAATGGGATCATTTGCGTACGTTTGCCGCTAGGGGCGCTGTTCCAACTGCATACAAAATTGGGTTAACTTTTACGTTATCGAGAACGTTAAAAACTCGCACTAAGCACACAGGATAGGACAGGAAAGTCTGTTAATTCACATCATAATAGTCGGTTACTTTTGACAGAGCAGTCGTGATCATGTGGAATCTTTGTTTATTAAAGCCTTGACAGCGTTTGCTTGAAAGACATTTCAAAAGGAAAATTAAAATGATTAAAAATGAATCGGTATCTTGCCTACCGTCTTATTTGATACTGTAATGTTTTAACTTTTAATGGTTCTTAAAGTGAAATATGCAGTATCGTATTACTGCTAGATCTCAGATACTTTTAGTCCTTTCAGTGTGAAATGAGACGTAAAGATATATTTTTTATAGAAAAATAGAACTTGGAAATCATATCTCTAATAACAATAAAAATACGAGATCAAACCGTAGAAATAGTTTTAATTGTATTTTTTTAATGTAGTTTTGAAATTAATATGATTAACGATCTCCTAGAATTTGGTTTTTTCACTGACAAGGTGTGTTGATGAGCAGGCACATTAAGTAACTATTCGGAGACCATAGACATCAACACAAAGGCCTCAAACCGCCATGAATCTATCTAACAATCTGACTAACTATCTAACAATCGCCATGAATGTCTATAGATATCGGTAACGTAACGCTCGATGGAGCACGTGTGATTGCTTCGTAGCAATACTAGCCAGGACGGCGACACCAACCCGCCAAGACTTATAACATCTAGCCTTGTAACGTTTACTGCAAATTATAGTTGTATCCGATAGCCATTCTTGGTCGATCGAAATAAAACTATTATTTAGAATGGAATTTTCTTTGAATTTCTCTGTGCCGATAACACAAATAATAGGTACCTACTTTAGTTAAATTTACATATTTCGCGTTTATTTACTTACTTATTACTGGTGTTAGGACCTCTTGTGAGTCCGCACGGGTAGGTACCACCGCCCCGCCTATTTCTGCCGTGAAGCAGTAATGCGTTTCGGTTTGAAGGGTGGGGCAGCCGCTGTAACTATACTAGAGATCTTAGAACTTATATCTCAAGGTGGGTGGCGCATTTACGTTGTAGATGTCAATGGGCTCCAGTAACCACTTAACACCAGGCGGGCTGTGAGCTCGAGCCATCTAAGCAATAAAAAAAAATATGTTTATAATATATTTATATTATTTTACAATTCAATTTTAACTCTCAAGTCATATTAAGAGTGGGTTCTACCGTGGCACATACGTGTTGAGCGATACACGGGATTTTTAATTTAATATGTTTGTTTGTCGCTCCGTTTATGATAATTTAAAATAATTTCAGGCTTTAGCGGAAATCGTGTCGGATGATGATCTCGCATACGGAAGCTTGTATCCGCCTCTGCACATGATAAAGGATTGTTCCGTTAAGATCGCGAAGAAGATTGTCGAACACGCCTACAATACAGGTATGTGTAATAGTTTCCTGTCGTAAGTGTAGTGTCCTTACTGGTGGTAGGACCTCTTGTGAGTCCGCGCGGGTGGGCACCACTACCCCGCCTATTTTTGCCGTGAAGCAGTAATGCGTTTCGGTTTGAAGGGCGGAGCAGCCGTTGTACTGTTAAAACTGAGATCTTACAACTCATGTCTCAAGGTGGGTGGCGGCATTTACGTTGTAGATGTCTATGGGCTCCGGTAACCCCTTAACACCAGGTGGGCCGTGAGCTCGTCCGTCCATTTAAGTAATAAAATAACGAGTGGATAGTCATGTGGTCTGAATTACATAATCTTCAATCCTGATTACAGTATTTTTTTCGAAGTTATCATTTTTAAGTAGTTGATTATGTTGATCGACATAACGAATGTGGTCTGTACCTACGTATTATAATTACTTCATAAATAATTCATAAATTAAATTGCGATATACGATGGCATTTCTAAATGCTAGGTATTTTTAGAGGTCCAAGTGAAATAAAAAAAAAGTATTGAATTTTATTTTATAATTCAATACCGTGTGGTGTCTGAAACGATATTGCTCTAATTATACATTCGGGGAAGAGTCATACACTGTTATCTGCTTCCGAACTAGAATTCCGTGTGCTATGGAAATCAGAGACTGGTAACCCTACATACCTATGTATATAAGTTCAAATATACAAAGACAAACAGACACAGAGCGAACAAACTTAATACGCCAATTAGCATTGATATTTGCAATGGTAATCGTTTGTAAATAATTTTATGGTAAATTATGTGTACACGTTTTTACTTATCGATTAATTAGTAAGGTATTTATTCGTCTGCTTAAATAATAAATATAAATAATAAATATAATTAATAGGCGCTGAACGTTTTTACCTTTGAATATAATGATGATAGTTGAAATGTTAATTTTGTTTTCCAACTGCTTTGTCATGTATTACAATAAATTGATTATTTGTCAAAATACCACAAGTCAGAATATACGATTATCTTGTGTATAATGTTTTAGCAAGTCATGTGAACAAATTAGCACAATCCTAATCTTGTACCGTACTGAAAAAAAAAAACGTGAAATATGTGATAATAAGTCATGAGCGTAATTTTCCGCTAGTCGCGACGAAAATACATTTATGACCTACATTTCCTTTGGTTCGACATACGAAATTTGTTGCTCGCCTTTAACTATAGATTATATTCTATACTGTTTTTGTAACACTAATAATGTCTTAATATTATAAAAATGGGTCATTCCTGATACGTGCAATGCCACCGTCACGTTTATCCTACTGCAAAGCAGTATTAGTTTAGTCGTGTCATTTTATTTCGATTTGAAGAGTAAGGTAGCCGTTTTTCAATATTTATTTTAAAATTGAACTGAATTTGCTATTGTTCGGAAATTGATTCGTTAGAAATGTTTGAAATTTTACTGGAGGGCGATTGGGGAGAAAATTAGATTCAAAAAAATTGGAGAACCACATTAAAGTCTGACGTCAACACCATTAAACTATTTTGTTGTGCGATACATTGCGATGTTTCGGTTACGGTTCATACTTAATCCAATTATCAAATTACCTACGGTCATTTTACGACGTTGTCAACTATTGTAGTGTAATTTTTATTTTACAAATTATTTTATTTATATCGAAACAGAAAACATTAGGTACTTTACTTTGAACGGTAATATATAGGGCAATGACTGTATCGTCGGCAAATATTTGATGACTAAAGACATTAACAAACAGTTCTGATCATTTTTTGTTCTTTGAAGACATCGTTTATGGACTCGAAAGTAACACAAGTTACTTTTCACCGAAAATGTAACACGATTTCTTGCAGATAACTGTATGACGCGGCTGTGAAAGCTATACGTCTTTAGTTTGATATTTCCCAGTCACCGTCTTCGCCGAACCCGTCGCTTGCGACGAAGGGCTCGACGGGTAAATTAACCCATAAACACAGCCCACAGTTTCTCGCCGGATCTTCTCAGTGGGTCGCGTTTCCGATCCGGTGGTAGATTCTGCGAAGCACTGTTCTTGCTAGGGTTAGTGTTCAACGCAACGTCGTCAGGTTTGAACCTCGTGAGCTCACCTATTCGCCCGGTTACGCTGACATAGACTCTCAAGGCTATTTATTAGCTTAGGTGGGGAAAATTGACGTTTTATAAAAATACTAGCGACCCGCTTTCGCTTTGCTTCACAAACTGTAATTTATTATTGATTTTTCCACTATTTAATGGATGTTATTATACATATAAACCTTCCTCTTCAATCACTCTATCTATTAAAAAAAACCGCATCAAAATCCGTTGCGTAGTTTTAAAGATTTAAGCACACAGGGATATAGAGACAGAGAAAGCGACTTTGTTTTATACTATGTAGTGAAGTTTGTTGTCGCTTCCAGGCAAGGCGTCGGTGCAGCCGCAGCCGCTCGACACGGAGGAGTTCATCCGCGCGCAGATGTACAGCGTCGAGTACGGCGCCGCGCTGCCGCCCGCCTACCCGTGGCCGGACAACCAGCCGCGGGTCGCGATCATCTAACCACCGCACACGACGACCCACAACCGACTCGTTTCAAAGGCCACTTTAAGAACCGTGTGCTTGGTGCGAGTTAACGTTCTCGATAACGTAAAAGTTAACGAAACTTTGTATGCAGTTGGAACAGCGCCCCTAGCGGCAAACGTAGGAAAACGATACCATTCCATACAAATACGAGCTAACTTTTACGCTATCGAGAACGTTAACTCTAAGCACACAGCTAACAACGTAACCTTCCTCGTCTACGTCCCTTTGTACTAGTGACACGAGCTTAATGTTTCAACTTTACTAATTAATGTATGATTACGGCAGTTAACTTTGTATCAACATAAGTTGATACAAAGTTAAAGTTGTCAACTGATTGTGTCCACAGCCGACATATTGTAGTTAGATGACTAGTATTTTAGACGTTGAATTACTGTATCGTTACGCTGCCCCGAAATACTAGCCTCGTGTAAACTAGCCATTATCGGTCTCAGCGATGGTTATGCCCAAAAATTGCTAAAGTTCCGTGGCATTGACTGATTTTGTCTAAAAAAAGATTAAGTTGCCTTTGAAACCAATTTAACTTCTTAACTTTAAATATCAATTCATTGTTTTTCTAAAATATGAAATAAAATATAATTGTGAATTTGATTACATTTGAAGTTGAATTTAATGCATAAATTCTGTAAACGGTTACCAGAAAAGAATTTGTTTTTCAACTTTGAAATTGATTGTTTCTTTATTAAATTTGACTTTGCAAATTAAAATGAGAACCTCATAAAGATCTAAAGTATACGGATTAAGGGAACCATTACAAATTTATATTTTATTGTAGAATTTTAACATTCAACAAAAAAAAAACATGGGATTAACATCAATAATGCGCAAAGAACAAAGTGTACTAACTAATACATTATTTATTTAATTTATATTTGTTCTAAGAATCATTCCAAAACAACGAAATGAATGTGACAATTGATTGTAATTAAAGACCAATAAATAACCAGCTAAACTGGCTCTCTTTCGTATCTATGCAATTAGAGATAATATTTACAATTAAGCTGTTACAATTTGTTCAGGTTCCTTTTGTGATTTAGAATATAATGTTGTATTTATGTTTGAAGTAAATAAAAAAATCTTAAAATATTACTTTATTTTATTTACTCTAAAAATGAATCTTGAGACGCAACAAAAAAAAACAAATAATGTCAAGACTGACAAGTCTTTATTTTGAAATAATTATTTATAAATACAAATTGAGAAGTACCGATTCACAACAAAATATTCCTATAATTAGAGCGTACGACAAAATATTTATCACTTATAGTTCATTATTATATGTACAAAGTATTCACAAGACGTCGTCGGGCCCCCTCACCGACTCAACGAGTGCGACCGCGCGCGTTCATTGCCTGAAACACAAACAATGTTAAAAACTATTTATTATACATAGTGTCTAAGCAAACAATGTGAAAGTATAAGCAGACTTCATAACGAGGAACAATGTTTAATAATCCCTCTTTGTTCTGTTCTTTAGAATTAGACTATAAATAAGGTGGCCATCAGTTAATTTAGGTTAGTAACAAAGATAATTAATTACATTGCGATACACTTTGAAAGAGGTAATTTGAAATATTCGTAATATTACTTATAACCTCGACTGAAGAAGTTCTCATTACTACTTCATAATAGTTACAACCTTGAAGTCGGTTTATTAAAAATAACAATCAATAGTTAAAAGTAAGTGGATCATCGGAAAAGCAAAATAAAGCATATTGGTCTGATAAATATTTCTTTGAAAAGCAACTAACTGCTTCATGTCTCGTCATGTGTTTTTGTTAAAAAGCTATAAAATAAGCATCTAACATGTAACGGGCCTGACCTAAGGAATGATGGCCTTGTAAACGGGTGTCCTATAACAAAAGATTTTCATTCAACGTAATTCTTACAAGTGCGCAATGTACACAGTGTGCCCTCATTCGGATTCCGTAGAAATTTTATAATGGGTCGACATGATATTATCATTATTAAAATTATAAACATCTTTATCACATTGGTAATTCTGAAATTTATTAATTAACTCCGAAAACGTTTTCAAAAGTATTCGTAATTTAATTTGAACGTTTTGTCAGCAAATGATATGGATAGCAGTAGTCTTATTACGATTTACAAGTACACTAGTACATGAAGCCGTAAAGAAACATTCTCGAAACAAAAAGTATCGGTGATTATCCATACAATAACATTGATTAAGTATTTATTCTTTTATATTATATAAACTATGTAGTTTTGTATTTTAATTTAACAAAAAATCAAACAAAGTGGATACGTGCGGCGTCAGGGGTGAATATGTTTGAATGTCACGATAAAATGTATTCGAACTTGTAGTATGTCTTGTTAAGATAAGCAAATGAATATTTTTTTGCTATAGTAAGGCCTCGTGAATGGTCAACATTTTATGTAATGAGGAAACAATACCGTTGTTACAATAAAACAAATATTTTTTTCATTGGTTTATGTAACTTACGGTTTCTAAATTATTTAAATTAAAAAAAATATATTGCTTATATGGGTGGATGAGCTCACAGCCCACCTGGTGTTAAATGATTACTGGATCCCATAGACATCTACAACGTAAATGCGCCACCCACCTTGAGATATAAGCTGCCCCACCCTTCAAACCGAAACGCATTAATGCTTCACGGCAGCAATTAGCAGGGGGGTGGTAGCCACCCGTGCGGGCTCACAACACGTCCTACCACCAGTAATATCGAATATATTTATCTTAAGACCTAAACGTTGTTTGTGCTTTGTGATTCCTCATCGTGTGCGTGCGTAGTGGCGTGCGTAGTGGCGTGCGTAGTGGCGTGCGTAGTGGCGTGGGTAGTGGCGTGCGTAGTGGCGTGGGTAGTGGCGTGCGTAGTGGCGTGGGTAGTGGCGTGCGTAGTGGCGTGGGTAGTGGCGTGCGTAGTGGCGTGGGTAGTGGCGTGCGTA